CTGGGCGGTGGGGCATGCTACGCGGGCGGTGCGCTGCCGCCGCATCTGGCTGATCACATGCGAGCTTAGCTCGCAAGCGTGGGTCGGGATCGGGGGACCTTAGATCGCGAGTACGAGCGTCGCCCGCGAGTCCGCAACACCACGGGGCGCCCGTTTGCACGCCAATTCCCCCACCCCAAGGTCTTGCCGTCGTCGGAAGAGTCGACTGCGACCCGCCAGCGCGCCTTCACGGACTCGATCGCGTTATCCTGCACATGCCGACACTTGTAGAGCTGCGTGCAATCGACAACCTGGCAACCCACCATGACGCGGGCCCTCGCCACCCCGCCCCCCCCCCACCCCCTTGCCCCCCGCCGACCCCGCCAAACCAATGTGACTCTGTCAGCGAGCACAACTCAACTTTATAAGTCCTCTTGCGGATGACAAAACACAAGCCTTAGGTCCGGTCATCGCGGATGCCGCGTAAACGTCGAGGACCTCGCTCATAATCGTCGCGATGCAATGATCAGGCCGTCCACTTAAGTGGGCCGTCTGCTCATTTTTCGCCGCGATCGCGAGCGCGTCCGCGGCCTTCGCGCCGCTCGGCGCGATGGTGGCGCCGACCTCGAAGCCTCTAGCTTTTAAACGGCTGCGGGATAGGGCCGCCATCCCTAGGGGCGCCGCGGGCGTCGCCTTGGCCCCCTTGGGAGGCGGCTCCTCGCTCTCGCCAAGATCGCCCACGCCAGACTGGACATCCAGCTTCGGCACCGCCACCTTGCGAATCCGCATCTCGCAAGCGCTGGTGGCCCCCCGGCAGTCGGCCACCACGTCGACCATCGAGTGGTGCACTTTGCGGTCGTCGAACTTCTTGCCCAGCGCCTGGCTTAGTACGCGCGCGCGCCGCGCAGCGGGCTACGCTATCGAGCGAGCACCGCTCGTCATCGCTCACTTCCCAGCGAGCATCACTCGCCGTCCCCAGCCACACGCCCGATCCCCCGCCCCATCGCCATCATGACCTGGCGAAGGTCCAGCTGCAACTAGTGTTTCCGCTTGATGTCGTCGCCCACGTGCGCGTAGGCTGCAGCGAACGTTCTGATGGCGTGCGTGATGCTCGCCGCTCGGGCGGCCTTGTCCCTGTTCTCCCCACCGTGGCCCACGCTCTTGTAGTCCGCGGTGGACAAGAGCGCGCTGTCGCCACCCGGCGTCGCCCACCGCGGGGGCGAAGCGCGCGGCGCTTCCATCGTCGCCAGCGCCCGCAGCAGGCCCTCCGAGAACTGCAACTGGCTGAGCGCCTGCAGGTCTCCGGGGGCGACGGTGCGCTCGGTGGAAAGGCACCGCTCGAACGTCCCCAGGACGTCGAGCATGTCGCCCCCCACCCCACCGCTCCGCGCTCGGACGAAGCTGACGTCCGCACGGCCCCGCCACGTCGGGGATCAGTTAGGCGTGCAAGGCGCGCCGTTTCTGTATTCAACCTTTCCTCGATCCCACCCCCGCCCCCCCGCCCCGCTCGCGCCTGCCGCCCTGCGCGCTCGTCTCGGGGCGGCAAGCGTGATCGCCATGAGCGGCGGCGATGATGGCGCGTT